GGGTATCTGGGAAGGGATTGACACTGGAGACATCTAATATATGGTAGCTAATGTGTATGCTATGGTGAGTGAGCCATGGGTCACAATAAGGAGAGCACACTTCAGATTCTGGTGGTAAATCTTTTAGGGGACCAGAAAGCAGTGGTTGAAAGATGAGGACTGCATCTGTTGCTTGGGTCCCTGGGTAATGTTATTGGGCTTCCTAAACACTGGAGAGGTAAGTAAGTGACCGTGATGGTAGGGTATACCTGTCAGCATGATTTGACAGGGGACATAGACTTTCAAGGAGAGAATAGACATGAAATAGATACATGCAGAAGTATAGTCAAATTGAGGGAAGATGACACTTAGGCCACAGTGGTGCTTATTCACCACTCTGCAATCAAGATTTGAGATGATTTTGGTAGTGTGTAGGGGGTTTCATTACGTGTGCTGAATATGCTCAGGGAGAAATGTGGTCATCTGTGACAGTAGGTCCTGGGCCTTAAATGGATTAAAAACAGGACTTTTTTTTTTTTTTTTTTTTTTTTGAGAGGAAGTCTTGCTCTGTCACCCGGGCTGGTGTATAGTGGCGCAATCTTGGCTCACTACGACTTCTACCTCCCAGGTTCAAGTGATTCTTCTGCCTCAGCCTCCCGGTAGCTGAGAATACAGGCGCGTGCCACCACGTCCCGCTAATTTTTTTTTGTATTTTTAGTAGAGACGGGATTTTACCATATTGGCCAGGCTGGTCTCAAACTCCTGACCTCATGATCCACCCACCTCGGCCTCCCAAAGTGCTGGGATTACAGGAGTGAGCCACCGTGCCTGTCCAGGACTGTTTTTTTTTTGTTGTTGTTGTTGTTTGTTCTTTGTTTTTTTGAGATGGAGTCTCACTCTTGTTCCCCAGGCTGGAGTGCAGTGGCACGATCTCGGCTCACTGAACATCCGCCTCCTGGGCTCAAGCGATTCTCCTGCCTCCCGAGTAGCTGGGATTACAGGTGCGTACCACCACACCCAGCTAGTTTTTTGTGTTTTAAGTGGAGATGGGGTTTCACCATGTTGGCCAGGCTGGTCTCGAATTCCTGACCTCAGGTGATCCACCCACCTCAGCCTCCCAAAGTGCTAGGATTACAGGCATGAGCCAGCGCGCCTGGCCAGGACTGGTCTTTAAATGGCAATGGTATTAGGTGAATGGAAGTTGGTCTGTGTTGCTGAAGGGTAAGCCATTGCAGCACAGAAGTGGAATAAGACCATGGATATCTGAAGTTACATGTGGTTTTGCGTGGCTGTGGAGTAATGCAAGGAGGCATTCACAGAATTATTAGGCACTACCACTGCTAATGGGAACAATGGTCATTTTGTGTTATTATTGGATCCTGTTTGAATATGTGAAGCATACTTGATGCTGTCAGCCATATTGTGGTATAAAGCCAAAAATGGAGGCCCAGTGTGATGTGCCACCTTGACATCTAGTGATATTGGTATGACCTGAAATGACCTGAGAGCCAATTCACTTCCCACTAGGCTCTTTTAGATAATAATCAACATGGCCTAATGATCCTTTTATTAGGGAGACCAGGCAGAATTCCTGGTTCTTATACTTTGTAGTGAGTTTCAATTTTATCCTTACCCACAGTGTTATTCAAACAAGCCAGTTGCATCCTCCCAAGGGATTCAGGGGTATCACACCCTCTTCATTTTAAAAGCTTGCATACCATAGTTTCTGGTTATGCACTCTTATCCATAGTGCAATCCCTATGTGGTCCTCCATGGTGAGGGATGTCCTCTTCTAGACTTTGAGTGTATTTGATTTGTAAACATATTTATAGCACCTGTCTAGTGTTTGATGTCATGTGTTTGATCATTAATATAACTGTAAGGTGAAAATCCCACCCTTATTGGTAGAAGGAAGAAGAAGATATAAACATACTTTAACTTGTGGGGAGGCAGAGGCCAATGTGGGAGGCAGTTTGGTGGGGGTGGCCATGGGCATGTGTCTATGCAATCTAAAGAATGATATGTATTTTGGCCTAGCACAGTGGCTCATGCCTGTAATCCCGGCACATTGGGAGGCTGAGGTGGGTGAATCACTTGCGCTTAGGATTTTGAGACCAACCTGGGCAACATGGTGAAACCTTCTCTCCACCAAAAAAAGAAAAAATTATCCAGGCACGGTGACGTGCACCTGTAGTCTCGTCTACTGGGGAGGCTAAGGCCAGAGAATTACTCGAGCCCAGGAGACAGAGGTTGCATTGAGCTGAGATCACATCATTGCACTCCAGCAACGGGAGCGAAACGCTATCT